CAATTCTTGAATATTTTATCTCATTCGTGTATATCGCTCTATTTGATTCCAATTCTCGTTCACCAGTGAACCCTCAATAAACTCAAACCAAATATAACATTGTACATACCCACACGAGTTCTACCTATGTGAGATAATTATAATAATAATAATAATAATTATTATTATTATTATAATAATTATAAAACGAACACTTTTATTCGTTGGAAACCAATATACGAAAGTGATTATGCGGTTTCATGACCCTAGCCATATGTTTTATTTTCAGAAACTGACCATTGGCATCCACTCGGGGGAGGTGGTGACGGGGGTGATCGGGCACCGGATGCCACGTTATTGCCTCTTCGGCAACACCGTTAACCTCACCTCTCGCACCGAGACGACGGGTCAGCAAGGCCGCATCAACGTCTCCGAAGACGCCTATAGGTGAGTAAATTTTCCGTTGTAGAAATAGTTTGAATTCTCTTTTCCTGTATATCCTGGCCTCCTCGCAAATGGAATTAAGTTAGAATGCGTTGAATACATTTCATTGCGTCTGAGGTGATCTGGGAAAACTGTTCTAAGGTACGTAATGTGTGAAATATTTGAAATAAGAAACACTTTTACTTATGGGTCTTGAACTGCGAATATGGTGTGTTTTGGAGTTGCAATTGTTATATTATTCTTGCACCATCGGCCGATGTGTGATTTGTTTTGTAATTTATTACTTACAAGCCTACCAAAATACAAATAATTGGTACGGTATTCCAGTCCAGTTATTGTCACTAGACTTCAGTCAATTCTGGAAGTACTGACGTTTACATTATGCTATTTCAAATCATTAAAACCCCATATATCATATGGTGTAGATTGTTTCGTAACTACTTGGTAAAATAATTAGATGGCTGTATAATAAGGAATCGGGAAAGAAATTCACGTTTCATGTTGTCACGTTGAATTTTAAACATATCAAGAAAGATGGCTTGAAAATAAGAACAACGTTTTAGCCTATTTATAATTTCAAGCATACTACCATATTCTCTGGCTTGCACCAATGCCATTGGTTCAACCATATCAACTATATTTTTACCTAGTTTTTAATCTAACAAAAATGGCATTGCGTTCATTTAGATAAAAAAGTGAACTGCTCAATGCGTAAAATGGTACATCTTACATTTTCACAACTTACCAGGGGATAGAAAAAACGATTTGCAGGAATTATTATTGTTATTAATACTAACAATATTATTATTATTAACTTTGTAACTTGTTTTGCAGAAACATTTGCAGTATCTGAACGCAATATAGTATAAAAAACTTTGATGCGCAGTGAAAGATAAAGCTAAATAACCATACCAAAAATAACATTAATATAGCCGAAATGTGAACATGTACCCATTCTGCATTAGGCGGTTCAACTGAAATCGAGCTAATTTAAAGTGAACTTTTAAAAAATTGCAACCTATGACACCGCTTCGAATATAATCCGAAAAAATATCACATTTAACGAAAAGTCTTGTTATATCATGTTAATCAGTGATGCAGAATATTAGAATTTACAAAACGCTGATTAAAGAACAACAAATAAAAATTGCTGTTTTGAGAAGGATTCTTTATTTTTTTTAATTTGTCTTCCGCAAACATTCGCCTGAAGCTCGAAATATGCGTAAAGGGCTCCTGGCAGCTCGAGGGCCTCCAAAGGGAGAGCCTTGGCTGCAGCGGGGGAAGCACACTTCACGCAGCCGGAGCGGAGAGACGTTGAAGCGAGGAGGCGGAGGGCGGCACCGCCGTCCGTTCTCTGCCATTAGTGTCTCGTAGCTCCACCTTCCAGCCAGGGCTTCGCGACGCTGGGGGAGATTTTGTCCTGAGAGCGTGCGAAGCACGAGCGTTATTCAGCTTCAAAGGAAGATGGTACTTTTATATTGAGCTTGCTTTCTGATGGAGAAATATTTCAAAACAAAATAGCCCCTTGGAACATCGCACAATAAATTATGAAATTATTCCGACAAAAATAATGTTGTATCTATCTAAAAAAATACATTAAGTAAAAGTTTACTTATCCAAAATCAAAAGTTAGTATTAGTGTCTGTGGTAAGAATTAATTTTATTCGCGAATTTTCCGCAGAAATTGGAATTGATACTGATTATTGTTAAGAACGGGTTAATCATGCAGTCTTGGTGCAGTTTCGACGTTTCTAGCAGGGGATTATTACAGATATTAAATGAATTTCTTCTTTGCAGCTGAACTGAATCCCATAAAAAATAAGAAAAAGGGTTGTGCGAAAGTGACTCACTAAGTTTGCTGAGAAATTAATACTAATATAATTATAATATTATGATAAATATAATAATAATAATAGTGATTTTTGTTTAAATGAAAGATATTGGGCCCGGATGTGTCTTTCCTTAATATTATTCACTGGTTTGATGGTACAAAGTTTAAATTTTAATAAAGTCTTAAAATTAATAGATTGGACGCTTATAGGGCGTCATTTCTTTTATTATTCATTTTTAAGACCAACTACTGTACAATAACCCTACAAAATAAGGAAATCATTGCAGCGTCATATAATTATATCACGTAATACATCTTTGTATGAATCATGGAGTAGCGAAGATAGCGTATGTTTAAATTCGAAGACTGACTATTTTTAAAATCCAAGTTTAGTGAGTGAATACGATTAAACGCAATGTCCAGCAATGGCGTGTTACACGTGTTCCTTTATAAAAACGTTTCAGTGATTATAAGGGATGCAATACGTTATTAAGGTGAATATTCGACAAAGTTTATTTCAACTTGCGTGTTCGGATCTAGGTAAATATACATTACACTTTCAGAAATTTGTTAAACTCATTAATTCTCAAAAAATAGTGATTGGTTATTACAAAATTTGCAAGCCACTCTCATTGCATCAGTTTTAGAAAATAAGAATCATATGAAACAATATTTTCGGGTTTATCGATTTTCCGTATAGTGCATATATATGTAGTATTTTTTGTGAAGTAATGGCAAAGGTTCAGTTTAGTAATAATAACAAATATTATTGCAGGAATACATAACTCCATAATACATTCTTTTATTTTTCATGTATTCTGTTCGTTTTTTTATTGATTATGTGTTGAGCAAATTCTATTAATTGAAAATAGTGTATTAAACAATTATTTTAAATGTAAAACTCTTTACTTACAATATATAGAGATGCACATCACACATCAAAATGATTTTGTTTGAACGTCGCTTCCAATATAATGGGATCTTTGAAAAATAACTGATTATTTATAGCTGGGGTTATGACATGAATTTTGCCGAGTGTTTTATTAAAAATTCACAAAAACGCATTAAATATTTTACACCTAACATTCATTGCAAAATAAAAACCATCTCTGGTCTTATTTATACCCAAAATACGCGCGAAATGTTTGCACGAGTTGCGAATTTAACTCAAACTGCTGTTCCGTGTTTCACATGATTATGTAAAGCCAAAATTCAGTGGTTGCGATAAATGGCCACAGAACTAGTTATTTTCAGATGTGTTGGTTTTGTTGTCGTGTTAAGTCGCTCAATTACACATGCAATATTCAACAAATGTAGTGAATTATAAACTGAATTCTAAAAAAGCCCTTGTAACATAATTACTGAGCTTCTATCTCAATCTAATTGTGAAAAGACAATCATTCAGAAGCTCAGGTGAGAGAAAGATTGTGAGGAAAAACATGGTAATACTTATAAAAACAGTTGCCTAGATGCAACCGTTAGCAATCTTTTCCTCATGCCTCACTTGATTTTTCTTTAAATCATGAAATACTATTCACATATTAACGAATGTTGTCACGTTTTCAAATAATTTGAGCCACCATTGTATCTTCAATACAATTTAGAATAATTTTCCAAACTAGTTTCACATTAAATATCATACAAATGTTTCAGTTCATCTGGGCTACAATGTCTCAAACAAAAACCTCAAATGTCATGTGGAAATAGTTTGCCATCAATATTGAACTGTCTATGTTGAGGAAGCGTATGACGTTTGTGAAACTCGCCAATAGTAATAAAGGAACGTCGAAAAATTGCAATTATATTTTTTATCTCCCATTATCACGTAAACTGAACCGACAAAAACCTCCCATAGGATTGCACTTTTGAATACGAATGGCCTCCGTGCTCCATTACTTCCTAAATAAACAGCTGGAGTTGGGGCGAGTGTCGTGTCTACGTGGATACCGTAACAATAAGCCGTTCCAGTCTTCTTTGTACTTTACGTTTGACAATCTCAATGACTTGGTGACGAAGACTGCCATGACCTAGTGACAAACATCATCGGGAGTAAACAATTAAGATAGAAGTGCGCTTTTCACCAGCGCCTATGTGGTCTAACGTGCAAGGAAAATGACGCATGGCAGTAATGCCTATCAGATGGCAGTCGCAAAAAAAAATATTTTAGTAAAGTAGTTAGTTTAGTAAAAAGTATTTTCTCCCTCAACTTTCAATCACAGTATTCTGCACGACATACATGATGACGCTGATTTAAGTGCTACGTATTTAATTCATGGTACTTAACGTTAACGTTAGTTTTTTCGCTAAAGAGAAAAAACTCTCAATCTATACCTTGTATGAGCACCAATTACAATGAATCGATGCCTCATTTTACGTAGCGAGACTCGGGCCATGTGACCTTCTCTTCCGTCTGATCACGCTAAGCTCCTTTCACTGACTAGCGGAAAAAGGAGGTATTTCTTGGGCGACGAAACAGGCTGTTTGAATTTAGCTCAGAGGCTTCACTTAGGCTTGAGAATATTTTACATGCAAGTGATTCCACTAACATGGGACAGCTGGCATTACTTCCCCTCCGAAGGAAGACGCCCTTAAAAAGCCACGGCTTCAATCGAGTTTGAACCTACCAACTTGGGAATAACAGTCCAATAGGCTAGAGAGGGAGGCAGTAGGAAATGAAAAGCCAAGCACGAGTAGACAAAGCGCTATTTATTTCCGAACACCAAGGCTGCTCGCCGCCCTGCCCCAGCTAGTCCTCCTGGAGGTCGACGTAGGCGCGCAGGCCGGCGGGCAGCTCGAGGGCGTCGAGGCCGAAGGGCAGCGCGCGGGCCTCGCGCAGGGCGGCGCGCACGGCGCAGCGCGCCAGGTGCTTGAGCGGCGGCGGCGGGGCCGCGCCGCGGCGCCGGCCGGCGGGCACCAGCGCCTCCTCCGGGGAGCCCTTGGCGAACACCATCACGTCGGCCGGCACGCCGTCCAGGCACGGCGGCAGGCGCGGCGGCGGCGCCCCGGCCGCCGACGCCGCCTCGGCCGACAGCTCCACCACCTCCACCCAGCGCACGGCGCGCAGCAGCACGCGCACGCACCCCGCCTGCGCACGCGCACGCAATCATTGACAGATTGATGGCCGTTTGCGGACATGGCAAACGCTACAGTCATTACGCCCGTTCGTGTAGGGAATGCATTAAAATTGAATTGAATTAATGCCTTTTTTTACGTGGCGAGACTCAGGCCATGAGGCCTGCTCTTCCGCCTGACCACGCTACGCTCCTTTCACCAACTAGCGGAGAAAGAAGGTATTTCTTGGGCGAAAAACAGACGATTTCAATTTAGCTCAGAGGCGTCATTTAGGCTTGAGGTTCTTATGTGTGACATATGGAGAAGTATTAGCATGCATGTTCTCCCTGCTCTGGAACCCGGATTCCCTACCCTCTTTAAAATACCCTCCTCAGCCACGTAGCAAAAGAAGAAGAAAAAAACGAACCCATATAAAGAATTAATATTTACTGCTCAGTAGCAAAGCTAGGGACAATATCAGCCAAGGTCAGCACTGTGATCCCTGGGGAACGCCTCACCTCGTTACGCGTGATCACGAGCGTGCCCAGCGCTTGCTTACCAAGTTGTCGTCGGCGACGCGTCGCCCGTACCACGCGTAGAGCGGCGAGGAGGCGTCGACGGGCCGCGCGCCGTGTCGCAGCAAGCAGCAGCACGGCGTCTTGCGATTGGCCAGCAGCACGGCGGGGCGAGCGGGACAGCAGCTTGCCGTAGCGCGCAGCCGCACGGTCGGCCAGCCCCCACGGCCCGCGCGACGCCACGTGGTACGCGCACGGGCGGCGCTCCCGCATGCGGCGCCTCCGTCGCCACCAGCGCCGCCGGACGCAGTGGGCCCCCGGCCCCGCCCCCGGCCCCGCCTCCGGTCACGCCTCCCGCGGGCACAGGCGCCGCCCCGGCCCCAGCCCCCGGCGGGAGAACCGGGGCCGTCTCGTCCACGTCGTCCTCGTCCTCCACGGCGTCCGGGTCGAAGCGCAGGCCCCCGCGGCCCGCTTGCTCCAGGAAGTAGTCCAGAGCCTGCAGCCGAACGAAGGGAATCCGTGATTTCGTGTGGCGTGGCTTAAGATAATCATGTTGAGAAAGGTCATGGTCTCCACATTAACAGGTATCTTTCCATGTTCGAGAGTTTTGAATGTAGCCTGGCAACGTCAACAACTAACATTTGAGAGTAAACAAAACATTTTCTTCAACAATGGTACCGGTTGCATTGGGAAATGAAGCAAAATGAGACTGATGAAAGCTTGACAATAAATTAATTGAACTTGATAATAAATACGTTAAAACAAATATCTTGATAAAAATATACAAAATGCTGCCTTCTAAACACAATTGTGTTGAAAAATGTATAATTAAGCATAATATCACATTTGAATAACGTTAAAAGAACTGTGGTCTTCCTGAAAAGAGAATCATTTAACGGAAAAACGTGCGTTAGTGTTAGTTTAACAAGAAGACGTTATTGAAAGGTTAACACACAAGAAACGGCGAAAATTAAAACGGGTATGAAATAAAGTTATAGTTACGGTCGATCACAGGATCAATCGTTCCGAATTAATCACATTATTTTTTTAATAACAGTGCAGCATTTTTAAAAGGTCAGCTCAGAGTAAATTTTCAGTCTTAAAACACTTCCAGTCCCATGATTTATTTTTGTATGAGTATTTACTACCACAATCGGACATAATCTTACATGAGAATGAGTTATAAACAAAGAATTACTTCTTGAGCTGATACAAAGTCTTCCGAAGCGAAGTGATATGGCACTTAGACATGCGTGCACTATCATCCCGCTCTGTCGCGTATCCTGATAATACCCGAGGCGCGGTCCGTAATGCAGAAGCCCCGTCGGCGCAAAGCCCGCCGCCCACGCCTTCATGAGGGCGCCGGCGACGCGGCAGCGGCAGCGGCGGCGCGGCCTCAAAGGCCATCGTCCTCTGAAGCCCTCTCCCCAAGGCCTGCGTTTGCGATCGGCTCAGCGCCGTTAACTGCGTTCTCTCCTCACACCCCACTCCCTCTCCCCTCCCACCCTTCACACAACTCACCTCTCATGCCACTACCCACTCATTCAGTCTATCTATCCCTCTGTGTTCCTCCGCCTCTTTATCCGGCTCTTCGTGTGCCTCGCCGGCGCCCCACGTCCCACCGCGTCGCTCCCTTCCACGCTCTCTCGCCTCTTCATTTACTGCTCGACTCCGCGTCGACGTCGCAGGGGAATTCCCCCCGGACGACCCGCGCGCGCTCTGTGGCGTTCGGCCGAACTAACGGCAAGCTCCGAACCGGCGCGGAGGGCAAATAGCCCCCTTCCCCCTCCCACCAGCATCCCTCATCCCGCACGAACGCGGGCGCGGCGACCGGCCGGCTGGCTAGTTGCCTACTGCCCGTGCATTGTCTCGCCCTTGCTGATTCGCCGCGCGGGCCGAGGGTGTTTGACCAGCTCGCGATTTCGGCTGCACTGTTTCCGAGCCGAGTAATGTTGCGCGCTCTGGCGTGCTCCGGCCGTGTCTATTGAGGGGGGCGTTTGTCGCGTGCAGGGATACAAGAGCGCGTGTTGCATCCTCGCCCAGCGGATGTAACGAAGGGCCTTGTCGTCCCCGTTGTGCGAAAACGGCTTTACCCTTTCGCAGCTTCTGTGGACAACTAAAGCGTTGTCGTCTTTGGTGTCGAATGTTGCTGCTGTTTGTGTGTTGAACCACCCAGTGAAATCGCTTTGAAGCTTACGTGCTTGGTACAAAGGAGTTCGAAATAAAATGTCTAGTTCCGTGGTTAATTTAGGAAAAGTTGAGAAGCGCATGTGTGTTTGGATTTGCGATATCTTTGCATTAATAAAATTTACCAGAATTAAACGATTACATTATTTAAATAATCCTCGTGTATCTGGAAATATAGTTTAAGTTAATCAGTTTATTATTTCCGAAACGTTTCGCGATGATTCTTATTCATAAAGAATACTAATTTTAACAACTACCCGCGATAGCTGGAATAGTGAAAATAAAGTAATACTTGACCGTTTTTGTTGTGGGTTAATATTTTAATAATACTCTCGCTTACAGCGTTATGTAAAGTTTCTAATTTTAATGTACTATAATTACGTTAGCGACACAAATTTTAGAGGAGTTCATACGTGTTCATTTACGTAGGTCATCTGACCTATACGATTAATAATCATTTGAGACATTATTGGAATACACGTTTATATCAATTTGCTGAAGTGACTGGTCGAATTTATGATATACTTTCATTGTAAACTATAGTACATTACCCAAATGTAAAAAAGATATATCTCCTCTGGGTCATGTTATTTCTAACATTTTCTATTAGTTACAATGGTTTTATTTATTGTATCTGAAGATAGTATTTTTAAACACATTCAGGTCACTGCGTGTAGAAACTACGGGCGCCGACAGGTCGCCTTAATATACGACGCCCCGCAAGTCTACGTGTACGCGATACCTTCTGCTTATATCATGCCATTTGTCCGTTTTCTATTCATGGAGGTTTCTACATCAATAAAGTAACTAAATACACCGCTTTATTACGTATGATGCCATCAAATTGGTAATAATAGCTTTGAAATATACTAGTGTGTGTGCTCTTTGCATTGACGCCTGAAGAGCGCTTTTCAAAATTACCCCATCAAAGCCAATTATTGTGAATAAAATGAAATGTTTTCTTCATGACTTCAATATATTTTAATGTAATGTTATGTATAATGTTCTATTATTCTCCGAACTGGTAAGAATTAAATTAAACTAAAAATGTTAAATTTTTTGGACTCGATTTTTTATTTAAATTCAAAAATCTTTTAAATTATTAATGTTAGCATAGAAGCTGTTACTTTTTATAAAAGTACAATATTATTACTTTGAAATAAAAAAAATGTTTCTATATTTTTTGGTTTAGAAAATATGATCCATTAAATATACCCCAAAACCTTACGACCTATGGAGGTAAAAAGTTGGTCAGAGGCTACGTGCTGAATATGTTCAATCGTACAAAAATTAGATGTTATAAAATATAATCAAATGAATTAAGCCTTTCTGTGTTTACCAACGTGACTTACTGAGTGACGCCCTAGAGTGGCAGCGTACTAGCTTCAGGTGGTCTGGATATGATTTCCGTTCGGAGCAAAATATAGAGTTGTAGCTTTAAAATCGTTTTATTTTCTTTAGCTGTGTTGAATAAAAGTTCCGTGGAGAATTGCTAGTTACGGTGAAGAAAATACGTCATGTTCGTCAGACATGCCCACACTGTTACCCCCAGCATGGTAATTAAACTAGGCCCCGGCACGTGGTCCCTTTATCTAGCCGGCAAAGTGGCAATCGACCCAAAAAGCCAAATACATGCCTACTTACCGAGTAGTCCCCTGATTCGTTCAACTGATTCGTTCCTCTGCCGATGGAAGGGAAGGGAAGGAGAGGGAAGGGAAGGGTGTTGGTGTCGTACCTGCAAGTTCTCTTGGCGCGACTCGAAGTCGCTCTTCCACGCGTTGAAGACGTGCGTGGACACGATGCCCAGCAGAGCGCCCACCACCAGGTTGTCCAAGGAGTTCTCGCACCAGAAGATGGCTTTGAGCAGGCAGCACACCACCTCACTGTCCTGCAACCACCTGCGGTCGGTCCGGCGCCCGCCTCAGCTCTCCCTCGCCTCTCGCCTCGCCTCTCGCCTCGCCTCTCGCCTTCGCCTCTCGCCTCGCCTCTCGCCTCTCGCCTCGTCGCCCTCTCGCCTCTCGCCTCTCGCCTCTCGCCTCTTCGCCTCTCGCCTCTCGCCCTCTCGCCTCTCGCTCTCCCTCCGCCTCTCGCCTCTCGCCTCTCGCCTCTCCGCCTCTCGCTTCTCGCCTCTCGCCTCTCGCCTCTCGCCTCTCGCTTCTCGTTCTCGCCTCTCGCCTCGCTTCTCGCCCTCGCTTCTTCGCCTCTCGCCTCTCGCCTCTCGCCTCTTCCGCCTCGTCTCAAAGAACAACTGAGAGTGGCCTAGCTACGAAACGCGACTTTTCTACCTCTGGCGAAAAATGAGATATTGTTTTCAATTGGGGTCCGTTGTGGTTAAGCGCCATTCTATAAAATGATTTGTAACAAAACGCGTTTTTTGTTCACTCCAGAGGGCTTAACATTAATTTGTTAACATCATAATTCTATCTTTCCATAATTCATTTCATTGTAAAGTACGAACTATCCACTCCTGCAATCAGAGATCTTTGCGTCACTACGTTTTGATGCCGTATTGTATCAAAATGAAAATTTATCGTTCTATAAAAATCTAACTGGTCTAAGCATTGACGAAATTAATACTGAAAATGATTAGTATTGTGAAAGTCAGCAGTTAGGGGTTTCCGATCTTAATATTTGTTGAAAAATGTCATATGAAATAAAGGAATCAAAAGAAACCATTAATACTCTAGTAAAAATATTTAATGAAAACGTTAGTTTCTTTTCAGGGAAAAATACATTTTCATCAAAAATACCAACTAAAAAAGTATTTCAATTTAATTTCAAAATAAGACGTTTCCAATTTTTTAGCTCAACTTTTTTAATAATGACTAGATATTCTTGAATTATATTATAATATTGTTTTGGTTTTCGGTGGCCTAGGGCATTAATATCAAACATTTAGCAGCAGCGTGATTTAAACAAATGATATGCCATTTTCTTGTTTGTTTTTTTTAAACAAACTAGTATGAAAAAGTCTCATTTTGAAACTCGACCCCTCACCTACTGCTACTGTGTACACTCTCTGAGAGTCAGAGTTAGTTGGGTCTGCGTTTGATGAACTGGTGTTGTTCTTCCTTCTACGTGGAACTCATTACTAAAATCCTTTGTTGCAACGTCTGAGCAAGTCTGATAGTAGGCTTCTCTAACTTCATAAATGGATGCAAGATAACTCATGGAAAGAATAAAGTACAACAGTAAGTTGACAATGTGATATAAATCAAGGCTAAGTTTCAGAAGTTTCACCGTTCAAATGTTTCAAGTACCGCTTCACTAGGGTTTCCCTACAGTTGCAGAGCAAAATCATTTACTACAAAAGGATTCAGTAACAACAAGACCATAAACTTATCAAGATACACTATGTGGCATATTTGATTTCCTTCTAAACCAATAAATCAAGAGAAAATAGTGGGGGAAAGTAATTGATTCAGAGGGATGTTCCTCGAGATTCTGGTACGTTTTTGATCGGATTCCTAAATTTGAAATACGTTTAAACTAGATTCTGCAATTTGTTTAGAACAAGAATGTAATAAATAATGAAAATTTTCTACAAAATATTTAAAACCTCACTGTTCAGCTTTGTGTTGGTTGTATGCAATAACACAATTTTTATTTTATTTTTCGCTAATAAATTTCAGTTACCATATACTTCCGTAAAACATTTCACATTATTGATAATGAAATTTACCGAAGAACAGATTAATCTTAATACATCCACATGAGAAAATGTCGAAAAAGATTATTAGAAAAATGTTAACGCCGTCGTTAACAAACACGGTGCCAGTTAGCCAGTCTTGAATATCTCCATTTTTAATATTTCAGAGCTTTCTTTTACAGTTGATCTAATTATTACAATGTATCCATGTTGCAAAGGTCATCTTGCTGCTCAAAGAACAAAAGAGAATATAGTAATTAAGATTCCAGTGAACATGGTGATAATTTTGGATGAATCTAATATCTTGTATATAAAAGACAATGTTTGTTAGTAGGTTCATACTCAAGGCGCTCCCGTACCGTTCACCCGATTGCGACAAAACTTTTTCAACTTATTGCTTATTGCTTGCACTTCCAGGAAGAATATAGGTACAGTACGATGGGAATGTACGCGCATATCGACGAGCGTTAATGATAATTTTATGCTGACTCAATTACGTACGCGCTCTACGCGCTACATGTACGCGCTCTACGTAACTGCACTTGACGCAACCCGTTGCACACTGAAGTACGATTATTAAGACGTCTTCATTACTTATTCTGCCCCTGCGATTGTGAAATTTCTCTCGAAAGAGACAGGTGCAGGGAGGGACAGAGGAAGACAGAAACGCAGAGAGAGAGAGAGAGAGAGAGAGAGAGAGAGAGAGAGAGAGAGAGAAACAGAGTCAGACGGGGAAAGATGCGGAAAGACACAGAGAGAAAAAGACGAAACCACACTCGGGAGAAAGTCTTTCGTCTATTGAAATTTTTGCAGATCGTAACATAAATCATGATTAACAATCACGTGAGCAGTAGCATATAAAGTGTAATACATTGCAATATCAAAGCATTGCCGGGTCCACTAATACACTAATATAATGTATGTACTTCAGACCTATCAACGTTGAAATGAAATTCTCTAATCCTACTCTGCCTTCGTATTCACTTGGAATCGCACCCACCTGCAAGCGGCAGTCGAAGCAGAGCTTGGCGACCGCGTACAGCAGGTTGTGGTACTTGGAGTTGACGCAGTGCTTCTTGCTCTGGTACGCGTTGTCCAAGAAGCGCTCGTGCATTCGCAGCGAGGCGAGCACGGCGCGGGAGCACGCGGCCTGCGAACACCAGCGCCATTTTGTTTTAGTTTTCTGGCAATTTATGAAAGTTTTGCGATGCAGTTGAGCATGGGGGCGGTTCGAGATGGAGCAGTAAATCTGCTCGCCTTCCCTTTCTGGGACCGGGATTCATCTCGTGGCGGATTCATCTGAAATTTGTGGTGAAAAAGGCGGGCTTGCCGCAAGATGTCCCAAAGTTACTTTTCTCTAGGTGAGTGCTGAGCTGATTTTGCATTTATTACGGACATAATAGGACTGTCAAAGATAACGTATTTAAATCGATAAACAGTAAAAAAAAACTTACGTGGTTGATGTTTGAACATTTCGCGATGGCCGAGGTTTTGAACCAACCGTGTCTGTCGTGTTAATGGCCTTGTGACGTTGAAAACTTTCCGTAATACACTTTTTTATAAAAGTGTCACTAATGGTACACGAAATGTGTGTATCTTTTATTAAGCTATTACATGTCCCTTAAAGGGCAGTTCATCTCGGTGCCGTTAGAGTTCCTAGTCGATCACACAACCAGGAGCCTGTGATGTCTCAAATTTGCTTACTTGTGGCTTCGCATAGTTAACGAATTCGGCTAGCAGCGCCTGTTTCGCGGTAGTGGCCTTTCAGTAGAATCATCAAAGCATTCGTCTGGATGACCGAGGGATTGTACGAAAACTCCGGTCAGGGTGCAGGGAAGCTACGAAAACCCCGGGCAAAGGTATTGAATCCAAGACCCCCGAATGCAAAGTCAGCACGCTACGCCCTGAGCCTTTTCGCTCGGTAAAATTTACAGTACAGTAAAGTATAGGGGTGGACCGTGATGAAGCAGTCACCCTGCTGGCTTTCCATTTCTGGAACCGGGAATTATATCTTGGCAGAAACATGTGCAATTTGTGGTGGACAAAAAAAACGGGTTTGGGGTAAAATTTCTCACGTCCTCTGCCTCCTCTTAGTACTAGACGAAGTAGAACCGTCATATATATAACGTCATTACATGGATAAACATGAATTGCAAACATGTTTGTGACATTGAAGTTTGTTTACCAAGGTGATGGTTAGTTTTATAATCAACCGAATCTGTTAAATGTCTAAGGACTATGTGCAGTTGAATACTTTTCGTAATACAATCGTCTCTTAAATAATCAAACAATGAATACTAATTCTTGGAATAAGTGTATTCATAAGTCATCTTTAGCTTTAACTCGTTTGTTCTTAATGAGAGGCGGAATGGTAATCCTTAACAAACGTCGGCCGTTAAAAGTTGCTTTTCGTTTCCCTTTTTAGTTGTGTGAAGTCAATATAACTATACAGGAATGCGAAAAATTATTATTATTATCATTGAAGTTTAAGAACTATTATTTATGTCATCAGAGTTTGTTTCGCTACGAATCCAAATCAATTCTAGCTTCTAGTTGATTTAATTTTATTATAGTTATTATATATTAGTAGTTAATATTTCTTTGTGAACAAGTGTATTCATTTTTGTAAATAATATACAATTTACATAATTCTAGAGTGCTTATACTCGTATTTTCGTAGAAAGAATATTTGCAATTTTTTGACTAGACAAATAATCGTTTATTTATTCCAATACGAGATGAAGATATGTCCGAATACAGTTAAAATATTAATTGAAAAGCTACTAGATTTGTGATGAAATAAATGCGTGTAATTTTCGTGTAACAAACAGCTATTTTTTCACCGTGTGCAAAACATCGCGAAGCGCGTGTGGATCACCTGAAACGATTCATAATCATCTTTCGTCTTGATGACGTCTTTGTTTATAATTTACAAACAAAGTAAGATCTTTCTAATTATTTGTTATTTAATTTATATTCCTTTAAATGACGCATTGCGGTTCGCTCAAGGCACGTTAAAAAATATAATTTGCAAGACGGCGCGAGATGATTCCCGCACTCGTCTCTTTGTCGTTCTCGCTACTCTCAGACGACAAAGTCGTCTCGCACGTGGATCACATATTTCGCACCCTTGTTACGTAACCTAATATTTTTCAAACGAACTTTTGTGTGCTTATTGCGGCTAAGCCATTCGAAGTATCAAAGGAAATTATTAGACAAAATACGCTTAAAATAAGACTTAAGAGCTTATTTTTGAAATTTTCTTGTTTGCTCTCAGGACACCTATATACACCTACCGCTCAGTATTTTGCAGTGCGGTGAAGTGAAGTGTGGTGAAGTGGAGTGTTATGAAAGATTGCACGGTGTTATGTTCACGTTAATTTGTAAAGTTTATAGATTTTGTAAAGTTGTTAAATTCTGTAATGTTAAGTTAGTGCATTCTGCAAGTTCTCAAACTTATTGCAGAATTATTAATAAATCTAAATGCAAATCTAAATATTACCGAGCACTCAATCACAAACCGCGGCGCGTAGTTCGACGAGAGTGTCTCTTTCTCTTTCGCCGGCGGCCGCGCGGCGCACGCACCTGCAGGCTGCAGCCCTCGATGCGGCTGCGCTGCTCCACGTGCAGGTGCAGCTCGGCGGCGAGGCGGCGCCGCAGGTAGCGCGCGGTTGCGTGGCGCGGGCCTAGCGCCGCGAACACCTTGTCGAAGTGCGAGTCTAGCGCCCGCACGGCGTGCGCGCTGGGCTCCAGCAGCGGGTCGCTCGGGCGGGACGGCTCGCCCGCCCCCGCCCCCGCGCCCGGCGGCGCCTCGCCCGAGCGCGCGACC